TGACTGGCTAGGGGTGGGGGGAGCTTCAGGGAGTGAAAGTGGCCGCTGGGGACTCTGGGTACCTGGTGTTTACCCAGAAATTGTACTAATCCCACTAATTCCTGTGATTTGTGAAGACTCTTGGCTCTGTCTCCTGCCTTCCTCTCCTGTAGTAAAGGGGAGGAAAGGGGTGGAAAGGGAGGGGACTGGAGGAGGGGAGGCTAGGGGCCTGGTGGGTTCTGCTTGAGCAGCTCTCTTCATCAGCCCCTGGGGGCACACCTGGATCCCAGGTCCTTCTGTGTGCACAGCTGTTTCTTTTTCTCCAGAGCCAGGCACCACAGCCTGGATGCTGACATTCAGAATAAACCCCCTTCTTCCTGAGTGCTCACCCTCAAGGATCATGTTCTTGTAGGGAATGTTCTTCAGTGTCCCCTGCAATCTCCGCGCCCGCCCCCCTCCATTTCAGCATTTCAGCAGAGGGTTGGACTAGACCTGTTCTTCCTCCTCTGTAGGAAGTGGCTTTGGGCAGTCCATCTCCCCAGCCTCTTGCTGAGGTTCCTCCTTTGCAGGGTTGGGGTGACATTGGTTCTACTACTTGGCAGTGAGTGACCCTGACAGAAGGAGCTGAGCTGCCACTCATGTTTTCCTGGGTTTGGGTTCTTAAAACAGAATTTCAGAGAACAAGGAGTATGGGAACAGAAGAGGTTCATTTCTTTCTTTTCTTTTTTTTTTTTTTTGGTCTTTTTTTGAGATAAAGTCTCTCTGTAGTCCCATCTGGCCTGGAACCCACCATATAGATCAGGCTGGCCTCGAACTCACAGAGATCTGCTTGCTGGGACTAAAGGCATGTACCACCACGCCTGGCTTCATTTCTTATTTTTCTCTCTCTCTCTTTCTGTGTGTGTGTGTGTGTGTGTGTGTGTGTGTGTGTGTGTGTGTGTGTGCGGGCGCGTGTGTGCAGGTGCCCGTGTGTGTGTATAGATGTATGGAGGCCAGAGGATAACCTCAGATGTCCCCCCTCAAGAGCCATTTGCCTTGTTTTTGATTCAAGGTCTCTCGCTGGCCTGGATCTCAGTGATTCAGCTAGACTGACTGGTCAGTGAGCTCTAGGGTTCCTCTTGTCTCCTTATCCCCAGCACAGGGATTACAAATGTGTGCCACCAACCCAGCTTATTTCATATGGGCTAGGGATCAACTTCACATCCTTATTCTTGCACAGCAAATGATTTACTGACTGAGCCATCCCTCCAGATCCCATTTCTCATTTGTCTAGAGACTGGGAAGCCTAAGGTCTGGGGTTCAATAGATGCAGTGTCTATCAAGGCCTGTCCCTTAGAGATGGAGACTGCTAGGTACATCCTCATATAACACAAAAGGACTTCATTTGGCCTTTATAGAACAGCAATCCCATTTATAAGAGTAGATCCCTCATGAACCAATCAATTGCAGAAGCCCTGCCTCCTAACACCATCACCAGGAGGATTACGTTTCAATATGAAGTTTGGGGGAGATGCAAAATTTCAGACCATAGCATGCTATTTCCAAACACATCCACAGTCTTCCCCATTTTCTTCTCTCTGTGTCACTAACATAAGTCATTATAGTCTCTGCCCAAAGGTCTAGGGGTTCTGAGTTCTTTGATCTCAGTTTTCCCATCTGCATTTGGAGAGAGTGAGCCCCCAGGGAGCTTTGCCCCCTGTATTAATTACTTTTCTCTTGCTGTGATTAAATGCCTGACAAAAGTAACTTAAGGGAGGAAGGGTTTGTTCTGGCTTACAGTTTGAGGGCACAGTCCGTCATGGGGAAGGCATGACAGCACGAGTATGAGGCAGCTGGTCACATTGCAAAGGATGGATGATGGTGCTCAGCTCACTTTCTCGTTTTTTTTTTTTTTTTTTTAATTTATTACTTTATGTGTGTGTATGTATTGCCTGAATGTAGGTAAGTGCAATGTCTGTGGAGGACAGAACTCCTAGAACTGGAGTTATGGACAGTTGTTAGCTGCCATGTGGGTGCTAGGATTTGTACCTGGGTCTTCTACAAGAACAGTCAGTGTTCTTATCTGCTGAACCATCTCTCTAGCCCCCACTCTCTCATTTTCATTCAGTCCAGGACCCCAGCCCAAGAATGTTGCTGCCCAGTTAGAGTGGGTCTTCTCCCCTCAACGCCATCTAGAAACTCCCACACAGACACGCTTAGAACTTTGATTCCATTGGGGTGATTCCATCAGGTTGACAATCAAGATTAATCGTCACGCCCCTCTCTCTGGGCCTGGGACTTGGTTACTCAGACCCTGGGGTTTGATCACATGTTCAACCCCTCGGGGTTCCTCTGGTCTCCTGCTGGGTTCTGGACCAAAGATACCTAAGCCTCCAAGCTGAGGGAGAGGCCTATCTCCCTGTGTGTCTACTGCATTTGCTTGGCAAGAGGACCAGGCACCTGCTTATGGGCCCAGGGACCAAAAGGGTACAAAGTCTAACTCCAGCAGAAAGAAGGTCACAGTCAAGCAGTGACCAGTGGGCACATAGTAGATATGTCCAGGCTTTGACAGAGGTGACAAGGGGTAGGGGCCATTTGTATCTAAGAGGAAGATACTTGAATCATTGGCGGTTGGAGTCGGGGGGACGACTCCATTAGCCCAACCAGCTGCCAGACTAACTTTGAGTGAAGAATGACCAAGTGAAGAGCTAGCAAATGAATGTACATACAGCTGAACAGACAGGGGCCAGCTGTGGTCTCAGGGTTCACTAAGTGAAGCCCCACACAGAGCCTCACTATTTACCAGGAGCCATATGTTATCTTGCTCCTCAGGCCTCCAGGGCTCCTGGCACAGTGCTTTCCATCTCTGAAAGTCTCAGGAGACAGTTACCCCAATGCCTGTTTAGGGATTCTGGAGTAAATCTACACTTTAAGGCCCTGAGCACAGAATTTAGCTTTGGAACTGGACAGCTCAGGCCTAGCCACTTCTAAGGAGTGTGTCTTTGGTGTGTTATTCAAGCTCTTGGTGTGTTCGTTTCCTCTATGTAAAATGTTTGGGGAATAAAATAATCTCACCCTATCAGGTGCTTCATACCTAGGAACTGCTTTGTTAAAGGTCTGCTCTGTTCCCCAATGCAAGGAAAGTTTGTTTCAAAGTTAGGTCTGTAATCTCTACCCTGAGCCCATTGGGAAAAACCCTGGGCTAGCCACAAAATCACTTACTTACCTTTATAGGGGCTGTATGCCTGGGGGTGTAGCCACAGTTGGTAGAGTGCTTGTCTAGTATACATGAAGTCTTGGGTTCAATCTCCAGCACCAAATAGACTGTGAAGATTCCAGCACTCAGGAGGCAGAGGCAGGAGAATCGGGAGTTAAAGATCATCTTTGACTACATAGAGAGTTTGAGGCCAGCCTGGGATACATGAGACCTTATCTCAAAAAGAAAAAAAGATTTCTATATAATAATGATATTAAAGGGACTGGTTTTTCTGCCCCAAAGCTCTGGTACTCTTTGACCTGCATCTCTTGAGTAGGTAGGTACTTTGAGAAACTTATTAGTTCCTTATCTGGAGATGACAAGGACAGTAGTGTGGGGTGTCTGATAGGGTCATAGTCTTGACTACTGAAGGGCTCCAACCATGGTTGGCCAGAGCAGAGGGCTTCCTGGAGGAAGTAGCATCTGAATGGGGTTTTGTAGGCAGAACAGAAGTTTGTCAAATGCAAAAAGGCTGAGGGGTTTCCTGTGGTGGCCTGGCTGGTATACTGAGGCAGGGCCAACTCTGTAAGCTTACAGGTAGACACAGGCAGACCTCACTTGGAGATCCTAGACACTCAGCTGGGCCATGGCTGGGGAAGAGATGTGATGGGATTTGGTTTTCATGAAGACAGACTGACTTCTGAGTGGATGATGACTTGGGGAAACCAAGCATGTGAAAGGTGCCTGTGACCCTGAATGGAAAAATGCTCTGCTTCTGAAGAGACACTGCTTGTTCTGGGGTCTAGTGGTAGCAGTCGTAATGTGATAAGGAAGGACAGTGACCTAAGAGAGCAGTTCAGGTGGCCTGATGGTGCAGTACTTGTGGCCAAGCTAAGGGACACTGAAGGAAAAAGAGGTTCTAGTTGGTGACTGGAACTGTTCTGATAGCAGAACTTAAGAGCCACAGATTTTAATTTATTATTGTTATTGTGTGGACTGGGGGAGGTGGTCGAGTGCCATAGCATGTGTGTGGTGGGTCAGCAGACAATTTTGTGGAGTCGGTTCTCTCCTTCCACCTTAATGTTGATTTTGGTAATGGAACACAGGTTATAAGGCTTGTGTGGCAGGTGCCTTTACGCACTGAGCCATCCTACTGACTCTGGAGCAACAGATTTTAAAGATAGCTTAAGCCAGGCCTAATGGTACACATTTGTAATCCCAGTTTTGAGGGGGTGGTGGCAGAGGATCGGGAGTTTAAAGTCATCCTCAACTACATAGTGTGTTCTAGGCCAGCCTGGGCTATGTGAAACCCTGTTTCAAAAAAGGAAAGAAGGAATGAATGAGGAACTGAAGGAAGGGGAAGAGAAAGAAAGAACATGTTCAACCAACGAAAGGTGGCAATTCGTGAGATGAATGTTGAAGGAATGAACATCCAAATGAATTAATGGAGGATAGATTTTGGTGAGAGAGGGAGGAAATCAGACCATCTTGAAGGAGCCTGGTTGTTGTAATTCTCTTTACTTCCTTTATAACTGCAAGCTCTTTCTGGCTTCATTTCTCATGGTATTTCTTTTTGCTGCTCTCAACATTGAGAACTTGTTACCAGGATTTTAAAAATCCGGGTAAAAAAACAAAAATGCTCCGCTGTTGTCCCCATGGCCATTCAGCAGACCAGTCAAGTCTCAGGATGAATAATCCTGAAAATTAATGAAATCCTCCCTCCAGTGATGATACAACAGCGAACATGAACTTGGTCGTGTTGGAGAGAGCCGCAGTGCGAATATGGGTCTGCACGTCCAGGCTGGGTTCGGGTGCAGTGTCACTGAATGTTTCTTGTCTCTTCCAGGGTCTGCCGCTCAAGACTATGAGCGGCTGAGATGGAGATGTCTGCCCCAGCCCCTGCAGCTGAGAAGAAAGAAGCCAAGGGTGGGCTCCTGGAGGGCTTCCCGGAGTCCGGTAAAAAGGCCTGCCCTCTGGCGGTGGCCGCGGCGGCAGCTGTAGCTGCCCAAGGAGGTATACTTTCTGTTTTGCACACTTGGTGACCAGCGGGGGGGTGTTTTTCATGAGGTCATTAAGGTTTAATGAGAGTGCTGGCCCCTGTCATCTAGAAGGCATGCTGGGTTTATGGAGGGCAGCAAGGAGGGCAGCACCCCTTCCCCGGGAATCCCAGGCCCCAAGAAGGTTGCCTGTAGCCTTCCTTGGAGGTCTGGCCATCCCAGACTCTGGTGGTGGGGCCTGGGCACTGGGAGGAAGAAGAGACGAAAGTTAGGCCAGGCAGCTGCTTTGCCACCCTCAGGGGGGGTGTTCAGCTGGCACCCGAGAAGAGTGTCCTGAGAACCTCTTGCCTGCTGAGGACTATTTCAGAAAGTAATTGTCTCCCAATGCCTGCTGGCTGTAATTAGGGGGTCAGGTATGGAACTTACTATCTTGGATGGATTTCTGGCCAATTTAATTACAACAGAAGGGACTCCACAAGCCACAGTCTCTCATTTCACTGCCCAGGAGAAAAATGCTCTCTGGTTTCCATGAGTCTGTGCCAACATCCCAGGGGTAGAATTTGGCGGGAAGGAGAGACCTCCCCTTGTCACCGGGCTGTCCATCTGGAGGCCACAGAACTATTTCTGTACCTAAGGAGTGAAGAGACAGAGATTTCTTTTCTCTCCCTTTTTATTTGAATGCGCTTTGCTCTGCCCTGATCTTTCTCACTCATTCAGAGCACAGCATAGCTGGGGAAGGAAATGTACCTTGGATTTGGCACTATAAGGTCTTGTTCAAGAGCAGGGCTGGCTTTGCACGTTGCTCTCCGGCATTGAGATGATGTCGTGTTGATGGTCCGTGGACTGTGCTGGGTGTAGCTGTTGGGACCAGAACTCAGAGAAATAGACAACCTTTGGGTTGTACTTCTAGGGATAGATTTTAGGGTTTTAGGTTGTTGTTATTATATTTATTTTCTTTTCCCCATGATTCTAAGTTAGAAGTTATTATCAAGACAGTGGCTCAAGCCAGAAGAGGGAACTGTGAAGTCAACCTTAAACTCCTCTAGGGAGAGGGGTCCTTTGGCCTTCTGAACCTGGACAGGGATTCTCTAGGCTGCATTTGTAGGCAGGGCTAGCAGGGGCTATGGACCTTACGTGATGGTGGTGGTGGTGGGATCCACAGCCCAATGGTTCACCCAGACAAGGAAGGAAGAGTGGTGATATGGTGCAGCCAAGTGAATCCCTGGCCATAGACATGTTGTTTTCCTTTCCTGGGTCAGGATTTACCTCAGTCTGTGATGATCCGGCACAGCAGAGAACAGATTTAGGTGGTAATTAGACAGTAATTAGGATGTAACTGGGGGGCAGGCCTCTGAGGCCTGAGGTCACTGTTGGGGGCAGTAACAGCAAATGCTTGAAGGAATTTCTAATGGCGAGGCTTGGAGCACAGCAGCCCCAGGGGAGTACCCACCACACTGGCCACTCTCTCCTCTCAGGGCCCTACCTAGGGGATCTTAGCCAGTGAGGCTCAGCACAGCATGCATTTAACTAGGGTGAGCAGGTGTTTCTTTGTAGGCAGTCTCAGGCTAGGTGCATGACCATTGAGGAACCACAGGGAGCCTGGAGTGCCCTCCCTTGCCGCTTGCCCCACCCACTTCCTCCTACTTCCTGGGAAGCTTATCTGGAAGGGTGCTCCTGCAGTCTGGGAAGAGTGTCTGTGTCCATATGGGAAAGTGGACATAGTGGGACCTGACTCTAGTGCAGGTGGTCATGGCAGCTGTGTACAAGGTGGGGCAAGGAGGCCTAATGGTGCAGCTCAGAGGGGCATTGCTGGGACCTGGCTTTCTTCATCTGTGTTATGAGAAGATCCAGCAGACGTTAGTCATGGTCTTTAAGGTTTCAGGACTGGAGTTGAAGAGATGGCTTAGCAGTTAAGAACACTTGCTGCTCTTCCAGAGGACCCGGGTTTGATTCCCAGCACCCACATGGTGGCTAACAACTGTCCTTAACTCCAGTTTCAGGGGCTCCAACACCCTCTACTGACCTCGCTGGCATCACACACATATGATGTACTTACATACGTGCAGGCAATGCAGTCATACACATAAAATAAAAATAATAAATGAAAAATATTTTTAAAAAGATTTCAGGACTGGGTCCAAGAGATGACTGGATTGATCCTTAGCGCCCACATGGTGGGAGGAGGAAACTGGTTCTTGCAAGTTGTCCTTTTACCTCCTCACATGTGCTATGGTACTTATGTGCCCACTTCCCAATAAATAAATATAATAAAAAAATTTAAAATATTTCAGAACCTCATTCTTGTTTAAATTCTTTGGGAAAGAACAGTGGTACAGGGTGAGACTCCCCTTGTGCTCAGACCCCGAATGCCAGGATGCTCCAGTGTGTCAGGTGCCGGCTGCCTCCTGCAGGAGTATGACCTGTTGGCAGGGGAGACAAATGGAAGAAGCAGGAGCCAGCAGTAAATGACTGGCATCTGAGCCTGGCAGAGGTTCCATGCTGGGCCTAGTAGGTGGTGAGAGTCTCTCCAGACCTGAGTGGTGTAGAGGGAAATGTGTGATCAATGAAGAGTGGACCGTGGAGCATGGCTCCTGGGAGCCAGCAGCATTTTGCCTGTCCCCTGAGGAGCCGGGCTCTCAGCTATCAACCACACAGCTGCTATGTGTGATCAGTGATGGCAATAGGTAGGGCACAAAGGCCTGGGTGAGGGACAGCACTGCAGGTGTGTGCTGGGCTACAGGTGTCTATGTGGGAACAGGTTTGTTGGAGCTGAAGGTATGTGCTGGGATGCAGATGTGTGCAGCTGCAGGTACATGCTGGGATATATTTGTGTGGTGCTGCAGGCATGTGGAGGGCTGCAGGTATATGGCTGTGGCTGTAGGTACATGCTGAGCTGCAGTTAAGGGGACTTCAGATTGGAGGGGCTACAGGTGTGTGGAGAATTGCAGGTGTGTGTGTGTATTATAGGTGCATGCTGGGCTGCAGGTGAAGAGGCTTCAGGGTGTGGGGGCTACAGGTACATGCTGGCCATGCAGGGAGCCCAGCACTGCTCACTGGAGGTCCCTTTTGCTAAGTAGTTTCTAGACACCCCGGTTTGGGACACCTGTGCAGGAGAGTGGCAGAACTGCATGACTGACCTCTCAGACAGTTGCGATACCTACAAAGCCTATGACCTTCTTGGTATGGTCTTCATTGTGACCTGCAGCTACCTGATAGGAAGGGACAGTTTACACAGGCCTAGGGATGCATGTCCTGGCTTATTATATATATTGGTGGAGAACTTGGGTGGGTCCTGCCTATGCATGCTGAGGTACTATGGCAAGGCATGGGCAGCTATGACCAAAGGGCCCAATTCTATAACCTGCCAATGACTATATGATGTCGTGATGCTGGATACACTCTTTAGACCTGGATGTCACATGTGGGAGCCTCTGGGTTCAATCCCTATTATTGGGAAAAAAAAAGTCTGCACATGTTCAGCACACCCTCCCATCCCCTAATATTTGTATCTTCACTGAGTTATTTCTGTAAGTTGTGGAGACTTCCGATACAGAAAGCCCAACTCTATTTTCTTTTAGATCATTACTTTAGATTGTTGTGACTGGAACCGTAATCTGGCCCCACTATGCTCTGGGTGTCAGCCTTGGAAATGCCTCCCCTGTGTTTCCATGCCTTAGTAGCCTCCTCTGCCCCATGCTGGCAGTTCTTGCTTCCTTACAGATAGCTGGGTATATTGGGTGTGGGGCCATGGCATGGTTGTGAAGTCCCTGGCTCCACTGGTCTCGGCTGCTTTACCACCTCTAGGTTCTCAAGGCTGGGGGCTGGGGGTTCCCATCCACCTCCCCATCCTCAAGCTAAAGTATCAGAAGCCCCTTCATAGGACTGAGGAAATGACTCGGCCAGTAAAATGCACAAGCATGAGAACCTGAGTTCTACCTCTGGAACCCACTTTAAAAAGCCTCCTGTGGTGGCACATGCTTGTAATTTCAGTGCAGGGGAGGTGGAGACAGGTGGATCCCTGGAATTTGATGGCCAGCCAGCCTAGTTTGATCAGTGAGTGCCAAGCAAAAATAAGAGACCCTGCCTCAATAAAATCAGATGAATAGCATCTGAGGAATGACACCTGATGTTGACCTCTGGCCTTCATACGCATGTGTACACACACATACACACATAGGAATATGTTTGATTTTAAAAAGCATCTTTACAGAGTAGGCAGAACAGCATCATTCAGGAACAAGTAGCTGTATAGTCAGGCTGGGAGGGGCCGGCTTCAGGACCAGGCCTCAGCAGCAGCCGCACAGGGTGATTCTTTCCCAGCCTTTTCAGCTGTTGAGCTGAGCACTCCTGGAGGCCATAAATCTTTGAAAACATATTTTGGCCCAGAGTTCCCCCTCCCGCTTTAATTTTTAAAATGGTGTAATTTTAAAGGCAATTTAAATCAGATGTTTCTCACTGCTTTCCACCAAAACTGTCCAAATGCTGTCGTACTTTCCTTGTCTGCCACCGGGTTTCTTTCCAAAAATTATTTCTGGACCATGTTGTGTGCCTCTGTGGGGACCAGAGCATGCTAAGCCTTGGGGACAGCCTAGAAACTTGGAGCTGGGCTTGATCTCATGAGTTTTGCTGAGCTCTGAAATCAAACAACCAGTGGGCTTTAGGAACCTTGGAAAGCATCTGTGGTAGCCCATACCCAACTCTGACAGTTAGTGTCCACTCTGTTCAGGAAAGCCAGGTGGCCAGCCAGTGTGGTCCTCCCTCTCCAACAGTTCAGCCATCCCTTCTTAGGAAGTGCTTCCCCCCTCCTTTCTACTGGTGCTGGGAATGGGAACCCTTCTTGCATGCTAAGTACTTTTTCTATTACCAAGCTACTTTTCAGCCTCCTGGAAGTGCTAATTTTTGGGTCCCACCCCAGACCTACTAAATCTGGAGTCTGCAGGGTGGGGCACAGCAAGCTGACTTTAAACAAAGCGTCTGAGGAATTTTGATATACTCTTTTTCTTTTTACTCCTGCCT